TCTCAAAATAATCTAAGAGAAATAGTTTCTAATAGAAAATTTTTTGAGAGAAAAATGTCCCTCAAGTTTTTCTTGTTTATATTTTGTTTAGAGAAAATCCAAATGAAAACTCTTTTATTAAATTTTCAAAGTTTTCACCTGCCAAAACTCTAGAGAAAAATGCTATTAGTTATGATAAGTCAAGTGATTGTTCAAATAAGCAACATATGCAATCGCTTTATGTTATGCTTTAGGGATAGAAAGTATTGTTGAGTGTCTTGCAAGTGCAGTCCATGTTACAAAGATTACTAACATTGCCCTTTTAATTCTACAATTGAGTAATGGTTAGTTAAATAAGGGTTATGAATATCAAGTATTCCCAGGCAAGGCTATATTGGTGCCAGCAATTTGTAATGTGAATTTTATTGTCTTGAAAGTCTAATTTGATAGGTGAATCTGCAAGCATTTTATGTGCATTACTTTTCCCATCAAGTACAACTTATGTTAATTGGTATGGTAACTAAAAATGATATTTAGGTTCCTGCATTTTTTGATTTAGCATATACTAGCTCAAATATTCTACCAATAGATTGGTCGCAAGTGGGAAGGGATAGGATGAAATAAGACTTTCTACCAATATGTCAAAAAAAAAATTCTCATGGAATTTCTCTCTAAAGCTATCTAAGAGAAGGTTCTTATGGACATTTCTAAGAGAAGTTCTCACAAACTATTCTAAGATAATCATTTTCTTTCAAAATAATCAAAGAGAAATAGTTTCACACAAAAAATTTCAAGAGAAAAATATATCCTTTAAGTTTTTTTGTTGCTTAATTTTTCCTTTTGAGAGAAAATCCAAATGAAATCTCTTTTCTATCAAATTTTCAAAGTTTTCACCCAGAATAATTATAGAAAAAAAATGCTATTAGTTATGACAAGTCATGTGATTTTTCAGATAAGCAATACATGCCATTGGTTTATGTAATGTTTTCAAGGAAGGAAGTATTGTTGAGCATTTTACAAGAGCAATCTATGTTACATTGATTACTAATATTGTCCTTTTAATTCCATACTTGAGAAATGATTATTTAAATATGGGTCTCGCATATCAAGTATTTTTGGGTGAGGTTATGATGGTGCCAGCAATTTATAGTATGGATTTTGCAGTCATGAAAATCCAATTTTACATATGAATCCACAATAATTTGATGTGCATTACTTTTCTCATCAACTACAAGTTATGTTAATTGTTGTGGTAGCTACAAATCATAATTAGGTTGCTACATTTTCCAATTTGGCATCTACCAGAACAAATGTTCATTGGAGTCATTGTAAGTTTCTTTACTTGATAGGTGAAAAAAAAATAGCCACATATAGGAGACACTAAAACCAAAAGACATAGATTCTACTCTAAGGTATGACTTGTATTAGTAAAATAAATACAGGCATGGTGTCACACATGTATGAAGGTGATGTGGAAAAAAATGACGATCACGAGGAGGATGACATTGCATGATGTTGCTTGCAAGTGGGAAGGAATTGAATAAAATAAAACTTCTATACAGTGTGTCAAAAAAATTTCTCATGGAATTTCTCTCAAACTATTTAAGAGAAGATTCTCATGGACATTTCCAAGAGATTTTCTCATAGATTATTTATATGTGGTAAATTAAGTGCTATATATGTATATATTAGTATTGTGATGATTTGGTAGCATGTGTATGCGGGTTGTAGTAAATTGCCTTGTTAGGAATTTAAAGGCCAGGATGGCCAAATCCTGTGTTTATGGTTGTATTGTGTTATTGTATGGTCAATCAAGTGGTAATAAATCCATTAGACTTGATCCAAGGCCCAAAAGTGGCTAATAGCACAGGGGTATGAATTTGAGCATTTTGATGTGAGAAAAATGATTTAAAATTGACTTTATGCATTTAGGTGTCCACATTTTGACTTTATAGATCAAAACCAAACTTGCGCCATTAATTAGATTATCAAATAAGCTTTAATGGGTGCCTAAATCACCTCAATTGACTTTATATGCAAAAATAATGCACGTCGAAAGTTCACATGAAAAAAGCTATCATGACAACTCAATGTTGTCGGGATCAGACATGTGTGCCATGACATATGCATACCATGCCATGGCACATGCATAGCATGCTATGGCGCATGTCACAAGATTGGACGTGATTACTTTGTGCCACATGCCATGGTGCATGTGCACTATATAATGGCACATTGCTTTGTATTGGCCTAGATGATGTTTTGGCCCTAGTTTCTTGTGGTTTGAGTCTTATATGGTTTCCATGCTTCCTTTGCAACTTTTAAACATTAAGTTTAAGCTCAAACTATAATTTCAAAGAGTTTTGTGGGATCCCATTAATTTTCAAATAATTCCTTGAATTTATTTCTTAAACCCTTCAAAGTTTGCTTTGTGACTTAGGTATGCTTGGTGCTACCAATTTACTTTTATGGTGATTTGTGTAGTGATTTTTGGTAATGTCAAGGCGAATATTATGCAATCCACTATCAAAAGATTTAAACAAATGAAGTTAGGGTGACAATTACACATGTTTCAAAGGGTGAGAATAATGCAAATGTGCTATTTCCCATCTTCAAGGTTACATTAGTAGGCCAAGCAAAATGTTCTTTCATTCTATGGTTTAAAAATCTTGTGTCAGACATCGATGCAACATCACCATAAGTAAAGAACAACTTAATATTATGTTATTTTCTTGGAGTTGATTAATTATTTATATAACTATTTCATTTTATATTTTAATAGGAACCTAAAATGCTATTAAATTTCCCTACCTAGCACAACTATATGAAATTTATAAAGATATGAAAAAAGGCATTACTGTTAAAATGCCACTAAGAATCATAGGTATAGAAAAGGGGATATGATTTTGGATTCGACAAGAGAGATCTCAAAAAGTTTTTAACTTTAAAGGAGCTGGATATATCATGGACCAAATTATGAATCTTGTATTTTTTTTGTACCAATAACATTTTGATCTCATTGCAATGATAGGTATCTCCACAATATTTGTTGTGCAATAAGCAAACAAAACACATTTGGATGTTGTTCCCAAAAGCTATGTAAAAGGTTCACAACATAGTACAGAAGAGGATGATATGTGATAAATCATATGTAAAATACAAAATTGTCATATTATCTAATGCCAAATATTGATGGGCAAATATTTTTTATTCATGAATGTGTGTGCGTGTGTGTGTGTATTTGTATTATTTAATACCCATTAAACTTTTTATATGTTGCAGGTACTATTGGTCATTTTGTGTTCTTTGCCGAAATTAAAGTATAGTATATTGGTTTTATTCTTTAGATAGAAAACCAAGTTAGTAGTTAACATGAATTTTCAATAAGGAAGTTTATATATATATATATATATATATATAACTTTACTTTTAGAGATATTTATACTTTTGTCATGCTTTGTTTCATTTACAATTGATAATAGTACACTTAAAACATATTATATTAGTTTGGGGAATATAAGCAAAAAATAGTGGTGGGATTTATCCAAGTGTAAATATAAATCCTTAGTTTTCATATGTAATTATCCGTCACATATTTGTTTTGGTTTGATTTTACATTGCCATTTTGATTCCTTGAAATATTGTTCTAATTAATTCTATTATTTAGATTTTTATAATACAAAGCTTTAAAATGAAGAAGAGATTATGATGACGTTCAAGATATTTTTGCTTAACAACATTTTCAAGAGCATTTTTCAAAGTGAGGTTAGGTTGAACAAAATTTTTATAGTTTTTCAGTGATTGACCAATTATATATATATATATATATTAACATATTAGATATATGGGGAAAATATTATCTTAGTCCATTTTAGAAATATATATTTAATATGGTTGTAGCTTATTGTATAATTATTGATTCTGTTGGCTAACTATTTAAGCTTGCTGTATATTGTATGCAATTTACAGCTTGAAGTTCCGTATGTATAGAAAAACAAACAAAATTTTTTTTATAAAAAGTTAAACTTTTAACAACGATTATATAAAAAATTAATGTTAAAATTTTTAACATTAATTTTTTATATCATTAATGATACTTTTTACATTGATTATTTAACCGACATAAAAAGTTAACTTTTTACTTTATTCTTTTTTATTTTTCCTAGCAATTGATGAAGAAAAATTTAAAAGTATTATTAAAAGTCATTTGTGTGGGTCAAAACTATCATTTTCTCTTTCTTTTTTAACCTGCGAATTCTTCGATAGTTTTCAAACGGCATCAACACATTCTTTTATAATCCGAGTCCGAGAAGAGGAGGGACGAAACAGCACGATTTCATACAACTTTTTGCAATACTACCTATTCATATTTTTTTATGTACCAGTCAAATTACGAAAAAGGACATATATCTGCAACCATTAAACATTTGAAATTTCGAACCAGATGTTTTCGTAGCAAAACCGATCGAAAACACCTCACACTTAATTAAATTATACAAGGAACGTAATCAACTAATTAAACTAAAATGTGCAATTAAATTCCTGGGGTAAATGTAAAGGACCTGTTTAAGAATAGTATTTTGTTGGCCAAGAAAGTTTTAAGAATAGTTTTTGTTTTGGAAAAAGAAAAAGCCAAGAAATCTGTATGAAAATACGTTTTTGTTCTGAAAAATTAAAGAAAAATTAAGTTGTTCTGAAAAAAATAAAAAACCAAAAAATATTTTATTTTTATTTAAAATTAGAGTAAATAAAAAAAACATACATTCTCAATTATGCTAATAAAATAAATAAATAATTCTTTCAGTCTTATCTCACCATTTTCCGTGTGGTTTTTTAAAATAATAATTTAAATAGATTTTTTTGTATTTTTTTAAAAATTATTTTAAAAAATCTACTCTACAAAATTATCTTTAAAACATAAAATAGAATCGAACAAGCTGTTAAACTCTGTATCGCATATGACATATACCAAAAGTTCACAACCATAAATAAACTATTTTTTCAAAAAAAAAGAAAAAAGGTCAGATTCCACATAATGCTCGAGTATATGGACCCGTAGCCCAACGTGCCTCGCTTTTCTGTGACCACGTCCACTGCTGAGATTGCACCTCAAGCTGATGATGATGATGTGCTTCAACTTGATGACCCACATTGCTTGGGCCCAGTGGCCGGTATCCACCATGGCGGCCTCCGCCGCAGCCGCCGCCATTGAAAGTCAAAAGCTCTTGCCCATTGAATCCCATCACATGATGGTTATTGGGAAGCAAGGCCTGAGGACCAATATAGGTGGCGAGTTCTTTTCTGGCGTCGACGAGTTCATCCTGCAGCTGATTCAGCCGGTGCTGGAGGACGGAGATGATGCCGACGCAGCCGTAGATGGGGTCCCGGAGTCGGGCCTCGGCTTCATAAGCCAAGGATCTGACGGCGTCCTCACGCTGCACTACGTTAATGTCGTTCAGAATCTTGGCCACATTGCTCGCTCCAAAAACCTTGTGCACGCAAGCAAACTTCCGAGGATTGTCCGCCGGAAAATATGGCGCAAACACGCAGCCCACCGTGCATTTCCTCCGCTGCATCTTGCAGGCGGCGCACGGTGGATTTGCCGACGACGACAATGACGACATTCCCCAGTCAGTCTCTCTCAGTCTCTCTACACCCAGTAATCCTTCTGCTGAAAAATATAGTAACGAATGAAACTCACAAAACAGTAAGCAAGTTATATATAATCCTCAAACAAAGTGAATACACTAGAACTTCCATGGCTAGAAGGTTTGAAGAGAAGAGTTAAATAGTTATGGTTTAGAATAAACCTGGACGATGAGGTTGGGACCTTCTTTTGTTTGGCACTGAAACAGAGAATGATATATATATATATATATGTCGAAGTGGGAATGAAGATGCAAGCTTGTGTGTGTGTGTGTGTGTGTGTGTGGAATGGCTTTGCAGTTATTTCAATCCACGATGCCGACTTAATCGGTAATCATGAGAAAAATTTCCGATTAGACTCAATCATCATTGTCATGATGAAATCAATTATCAAAATTGATTAATTTATTTCCAAAAATATTTAACACAAATTTGAGATTGTGATGCCAATTGAGAATCTCAGATTGTAAGAGGGCTCGCATTATTACACTCACCAGTGGAGCATGAATATTTTTTCTTTGCAAGATCATTGACAGATTTTTCAAAATTAATTAATGAAAGAAAAAAAAAGGAAATAATTGACTGTTCTACATATGATATGTTGTCACTATAAAAGTTTTCTTTTTTCAGTTTAAAATTGGCAACTCATAATGACCTTGTTGCCCACTATTTTGTTGACTCTAGGTGTTTGATTAGTTACCCCATCCTAACACTATTAATTTTAAATAAATATTTTTTATATTAATAATTTTTATTTTTATAAATTAAATTTAATATGTCAAATACTTTGTTAATATTTAAAAATTTATCGTTGGAATTTTTTATTGAAAAAAACTAACAATGTTAGTTTTTAAATACTTTAACAATAAAAATAAAACTTTATATAAAATTAAAAGATTAAAGTTAGCCTATACATCCATCTAGAGTAATGATAAATGTGTTCATTGATATGATAATTTAATAAAGAAATTATTAAATCCTATGCCTAGAGATAGAGTCTTACAAAATGACAGCTGTATTTTGTGTGACGCACACACGCATATTGTTTTTTATGATACTTCATCTTAAATTACAAAACATTTTTAAAGAAGGTTTTCTGTCTGAAAATATAAGAAATTTTGAATAAATTAAAGTTTCATTAAATGCACTAATAATTTTAATATTATCCTTTCCCTCTTTATAATTAATTTATGTCTTTTTCTTTTCAATATATTAAATAATGAATATTTTAAAAAATTTATATTTTGTTTTGTAAAGATAAAGTTGTTTAGTGTCATTAATGAGGTTTATTGATATGTGAGATGTTATCTAAAAATATTTTATAATTTAAGAGGATGGAGTAATTCAGAGGGGAATCAGCCTCAAAGCCCGAAAAAGAAAAAAAACAATTCAAAAGAAATATAAGTCCTGGAAATTAAAGCAAACAATATAATATAAAATTGATCCCTTCACGAAATATAATGGCCGGAAAAGGAAAAATCAGTATGGGACGCCAGTTTGTCCGAAACTTGCCATAAGAACAGACAGTATAACACATCCATTTGACCATTTCTATCTATTTATCTTGATTTAATTAAAAATAAGTATATTAAGTATATGAGGTTAAGTTTATAAGTCATTTTTCCTATCTACATTCAGAAGATTAAAAGCTTGTATTTGATGTAAACATGAAAATAAATATAATGTAATTTTTTTATATTTTTATTAATATAATAATGCAGCTTGCCTCAAAACAAGCCACCAGGCCACGCCTCTAAAGGACGCAAAAATATCTTTTAGATAGGCAAATTATAAAAGAGTACTATAAAATACAGTTATTATTTCTTTTTTACGAAATAACTTTTATAACCCTAAGCACCACGAAATTGAAGAGGCACACCACATGTGACTCACCTTTGTCGGCAAGAATTAATGGCTTTCTCAAGAATACAAAAAAAAAAAAGAGAAGAAAATGAAAGTTATACATAATGTCTTAAAGGAATGGACACAATTTCATTTAGACTTAATTCATCCCCATTTATTCTAGTTTTTTTAGTACAAATTGGGCTGATAGTAAATTTTCTTCAAAATTAAATATAAACACACTACTTGAGTATACATGGATTGTACTTTTCTATGTTGGTTCATGAACTAAGAACCAACGTAGTTTAATAATTAATATTAATTAAAGGTTATTTATAATAAATTTAAGTAATATCCAATCTTTTCAAAACGTAGAGTTTTCTTAAAATATATTTTAAAGTGAATGAGTTGCAAATAGGCCACAGTACTGGGGTTTGTGGCTCTGTCATGTGTTGCTTATTTTAGGTCCAAAAGAGCCCATTATATGATTTTATTTATCCAAAGTAGGGCATCTTTGGGTAAATATTCTAAGGTTTAGGTGCCCAAACCTGAGTTGAAATATATCAAAAGTCCATTAGTATGTTATAAATTTTATTTGAATATTTTTTTTTTTTTGGAAGAGCTTTTCCAAATGAAGCCACTTCATTCCACATATATTATTAGTTAATACAGGAAAGGGGTTTTAACTGTAATAGAAAAAAAAAATTAGGAAGGTTTGATTACTGAATCACTTCCCAATGGTTTGCTCTAAGTTCGTTCATTTAATGAAAATAAGATTCTAGATAATGAAAATATAGATTCTAGGTGATCATGTTTCTAGAAAGATTCGACATAGTTTTATATATATGCTATCGGGAGATAAAGTAAAAAATAGAAGTAAATCATTTTAATTCAAATAGAAGGCTACAAACTTTAGAACAAAAATTTGAATGATTATACTATTTTTCAACTTCAACATTTCTGTTTTTTTTTTTATGGGGATACAATTAGAAGTTAAAAATTTTAGGAAACCCTATTCTCTTCCAATAAATAAATTTAGAATTTAGTTAAGGAGTATCAAATATGAAAATAAGGGCCTCCATTCATAAAATTTGTGAAAAATGTTGACTGATTTGTAGACGCAGATGAATTATAGTAATTTGTTCCAATCCAAGACATAAACAAAGACAAGGATAATCTTTAAAAAAAAATCCCAAAAATAAAAAAGGGGGCTTGATCGGATGCACAAAAAAAATGAAAAAAATTATTTTTTAATTTGATTTGGAATATATTTGAATATTTGTGAATATTTGAATATTTTATATATATTGAGATATATTAAATTCAAATATATTAATATATAATGATAATATTTAAAAAATTAAAAAAAATTAAAAATAGAAAGAATCCGCTTTTGACATGAAGTAGATATATTCATATATCTCTAACTAATATTTATGAGATAATAAAATATAGGAAAACCTATAACAAAAATTGATTCATGTAGAAATGGAAGTATTGGTTCATGTAAGAATGCGCATAAAATACCAAAGGAAATTATTCATGTTCAAGCTAGTTTTAATAATACCATTATGACTATTACAAATGAATGGGGTCAAGTTATTTCTTGGTCCTCTGTCAATAGTTGTGGATTCAAGGGTACAAGAAGGGGGACAACTTTTGCCACTCAAACTGCAACAGGGAATACTATTCAAATAGTAGCGGATCAAGGTATGCAACAAGTAGCAATCATAATAAAGGATCTTGGTTTTGGAAGAGATGTGGCATTAAAAGCTATTTTTAGAAGTGTTATATACTGATAAGTTTCATACGGGATGTAACCCTTATGCTACTTAATGGTTGTAGGCCCCCTAAAAAAAACATATGTAAAAGGAAAATAAACATTAATTGAAGAGATTTCAAAAGAAATAAATAATTCAAATTCAAGGATTCAATGAAAATATATTATTATGGTTTGAGAGAAAGTAAGAGAATCCATTTAGACGCTGCAATGGAAATGTGTTGAATCAAGAGTAGATAGTAAGCGTCTTTATTATGGACACTTTATTCTATCTCCACTTATGAAGGGTCAAGCTAACAGACTAGGCATTATGATGTGAAGAGCTTCACTCATAGAAATAGAGGGAGCATGTATCATATGTGTAAAATCTGAGAAAATCACATGAATATTCTACCATAGCAGGCATTGAAGAATTAGTACATGAAATTTTAATGAATTTGAAAAAAAAATTGTATTGAGAAGTAATCTCTATGGAACTTGAAATGCATCTGTTTTGGTTAAGGGTCCAAGATATGTAACTACTCAAGACATAACTTTACCACCTTTTGTAGAAATCATTATTAATACACAATATATAGCTAATCTAACAAAACATATAAATTTATGTATTGGATTACAAATCAAGAGGAATTGCGGATATCGTATAAAAACACTAAGTACCTTTCAAGACAGAAGTTATCCTATAGATGATATATTTATGCGTATTCACAATGCAAATTTTAGTATTCATTCTTATGTAAACAAGAATGAAAAAAGATATACTTTTTCTTGAAATATGGACAAATGGAAATTTAACTTCTAAAGAAGCAATGTATGAAGCCTACTCGAATTCGATTGATTTATTTAATTATTCATTTTTCACATGCGGATGAAAAAAACTTTAATTTAGAAAACAATCAACATAAAGTTACTTTACTTTTTTTTACTTTTCATGATGAATTGGCTTAACTAAGGAAAAATAAAAAAGAAATAGCTTTGAAATCCATTTTTATTGATCAATTAGAATTGTCTCCCATGATCTATAATTGTCTCAAAAGGTCCAATATACATACATTATTGGAGCTTTTGAATAATAGTCTAGAAGACCTTATGAAATTGGAACATCTTCACATAGAAGATGTAAAATGTACATTGGAAATTTTAGAAATAGAGAAGCATTTTGCATAAAATTGAAATCCATTGGATTTTTAATCTTTTTTAAGGAAAAAAAAAATGAAAATGTGGGTTTTAAATCTTTAGCACAAATCCATATACTTGGAATAGGTCAAAAATGGAATAGATGTATCTGGGGATTAATGGTTTTAAAGTGAATTCTCCCTAGATACACTATATACATATCATGCTATTTTATTTCATAATTGAATCAATCTAAAAAACATCTAAAGTTAGATATTTCTCAATAGGTAATGTTGCTCCAATACTTAACTAAAGGGCCATTGCGGTGCCAATCAAAAAGATGGTTGTCACTACTAGACAATGAAATGGGTTATGGAATTTATTAACATTCTTCAAAAAGGGTACTATTAATAATTTGGCTAGAACTAAAACCATTAAAAGAACACTCGATAACTTATTGGGCACTATATGAAATATATGAAATATGAGAAACAAATACCATTCAAGCAATATTTCCAAAAGAGTTGCAAATGGATCTGCAAGTTCCCTAATCATTGATAGTTCTAGAACTGTAACCCTCCCTTATATCCTTAGATACAGGAGAGGATTAACAAACCTACCACATCACACATACTAATCAGTAATCAAAGTATTTATTTGAAAAGATTTGGCCAAAAACTTATTTTGCAAAATGATTATAAATCATAATACATCAGAAATACACAACGGAAGCAAATCACACATTTGTCTAATGCATAATGGACACAACCCATAAGCATTTCCATTTCAATTGCATGCAATTACAACCACAAAATCAGGTTAGGAATTGGTCCATATGCCGTGGTGTGCAATACGTGTGCCACTATATACAGCACAAAGCCACACGCTTAACCTTTCTATGTCATGCACCGTGGCATGTGACACCATGTGCCGCAGTGTGCCTATTCGAATTCTGCTATCAAAATGATGAACTTTCAACATGCACTATTTTCACATATGACATCTAATTAGAGTGATTCAAGCTCCTACACATAGCTTAACTTATAAGCTAACTAATGAGATAGGTTTGAACATGATCTAATGGTCCAATCAAAATTTGAACACCCAGGGTGTAAAAAGTCACTTTTTCTAAAATTTTGCGTACCCAAGTGCTCAAATCGATTCATTTATCTCATTAGACCACAAAAGGCCTTGAATCAAGTCTAAAAGGACCTAATACACTTGATTGACCATATTATATGACAATCATACATATATGTTGAAATTTGATCCTTCTATAACTAATTTTCACTTTTCACAGACTTGTACAAATTGCCAACACTTGGATTAACTTAACCCACTTGCCTTTTTTCTCAACACAAACATATACATTCACATTCACAATACAATCTTAGTCCCAAATTACTCATTTCATTATAATTTCTCACTTGGGCTTAAAATTCACCTAAAAACACAACATACTCAACACATACATACTCAAATCCTGGGCCTTGATTCATCTCATCACATATACATACACTTGGGCTAAGATTTCAAAAAATCACTACTCAAGTCATGCACGCAACCCTAAGGCAACTCATTTACACATATATACACAAGTTTCTTAGTTCATTACATAAACTAAGAGTGTACATGGCTTCAACAACTTAAGCTGGTCTAGACTCTCTTCCCTTACCTTGATTACTGCTTGGTGCTGTAAACATATAACCATGCGGGTGAGATAAAAATCTCAATAACAGAATAACTCACTCCTATTGACTATCACATGCAACAATATGAAAGTAAAGCATATTATACCATTTAAAATCTCATAAACATAGTATATATCACATATTCCATTCTTAATTTACAATCACATAAATCCATACACCACATTTCCCCACTTTCTCACATGTAGCAACATATTGCATCACATAGTATTCCATGGCATGATCACTACCAATCGAACTTCTAAATCACCCCGACATGAAATCATAGGCTCGTCTTAGACTAATGTACACTCTCATTGGCCGTAAGCTCACTTGTAGTAGTAGAATCACCTGATCAAAGATGTTCTACCTCACTTTCAAACTATGATTTCCTCTAATACACACAATGGGGTATTGTTGACTCTAACACCATATCACACAGACATTAAGGAGTCTCAAATATCTAACATTGCACCTCAATAGGCACTAAGGAGATCTTTTCTAACACCACACCTCATCAGGTACTAAGGAGAATATTCCATATAGTTTTATCATCACCTTTCTACTTAGGTGAGCTCCCACTTCTACGATCATGCTTTTCAAACCACATAGGTTGCCATTCACACATATATCCTCATTACATAGTATATATTTATGTAAAGTATAAAATCACATATTCTAAATTATTTCTTTATTTAAAAGCTATTTTTATGCAACATTCACACAATGCTATAAAGCATGCTTAATTAAAAACCATTCCATGCATTACATAACATACTAACACACAGTTATAATAAACAGTCAAATAAAGGAAGTTATTCAGTTACCTCAACCCTTTTGTCACTAGAAAGGATACCTGTGGATTTTAACCACCACTATAGCTTATCTTAAGCTTCCTTTCTCAACTCACACATCCAATATACCAATCTGAACACATTTGGCACATTTTAATCATTTGATCTACTTTGACTAAAAACACATATTTACTACATAGTGCTATATTCATCTATAAACTCTTTTCCATTTATCCATTCTAAGTCTATTACTACTTGATTACTACCTTACATCACCTTAACCAGTCTTGTTTCACTCAAATTAAATTTGTGCCCTAAATTCTCTCTTCTAAGGGCGAAATTAAGCCTACAGGTTTAAAGCTCTACCGTTCAGCTTTAAACAATCGCAAAGTTCCAATTTAACTCTCGAGAACATTTTTATTACTATTGGGCAAGAATCAAACCCCTCAAATTCCACTGATTCAATTTCCTTATAACTCATTTTTAGAGAAATTTGTGTAGAATGGAAGGTAAGAGTTATACATAGCTTACCCACTAAATTATCAATTAGAAGCACCTTTCAATGACCTGAAATGGCTTGCCCTAGCTCTTCAGCCCTCTTTCTCTCCTTCTCTGGTATGTTTTTAAATTTTCCTTAGTGAAAATCACCTAGATTTCATGACTTAAAGAGTCATTTTCTAGTTTATGCATCACAGTGCATGCAGCACAAGCTGCAGTGCATGGCACAGTGAAATTAATTCTCACTACGCACACTTGCTTTGACTTGAAATGCAGTTCTTCTGCCTGTATCAATTCACACAACATCCTAATGAGTCAAACTATCAAGTAACCATCTGAATCTCTAACCTCATATTAATTACCACTCTACCCTCAATTAATAGCTAACCTTGAGATTAAGAAATTCAGGATGTTATAAGAACCGCCAAGCCTACATTACGTAACCTTCTCCCATATCCTCTAGATACAAAAGAAGATTAACTAAATCACCACACACACTTAATCAAAACACAATCAAATACCTCATTTAAAAAGCTTGAGCTCAAGACTTGTTTTGCAAAATCATCAAAATCACAATACATTTGTACAATACATAGTGGGCACAACTTATAAGCATTCCTATCTCAAATTACATGTATTAAAAACTATAAAATCAAGCTAGAAAAGGGTCATACGCCACAGTATGCAATACGTGTGCCATGATATGTGGCATAAAGCCATACGCCTGACTCTCTATGTCATGCACTGCGGCATGAGACACCATGCACCCCAGCCCACTAGTTTGAATTTTCTGCTATCATTTAACAGTAAAAAATGATGAACTTTTGACATGTGCTATTTTTACATACAACATTTGATCATAGTAATTCAATCGCCCACACAAAGCTTATCTTATAAGTTAGCTGATGAGACAGGTTTGGACACGATCTAACGTTCAATCAAAATTTGGACAACCAGGTGTAAAAAGTCACTTTTTAAAAAAATTTGCTCACCCAAGCACTCAAATTGATCCCTTTCTCTCATTAAATCACACAAGGTTTCGAACCAAGTCTAAAAGGACCTATTACACCTGATTAACCACAATATATCACATATATACACCTATACCAAAATTTGACGCCTCAACGGCCAATTTTTACATTTCTTAACTTTTCACAATTTGTTAAAATTTGGCCTACTTGGCCTTTTCTCACCACATATATACATATGACTACATTTATAACATAATCACAACTCAATCTTAGCCCTAAATTATGCACTTCATCATAATTTTCACACATGGGCTAAGATTCACTAAAAAGTCGCAACATTCATTACAATTTCTGCACCTTCAACAAAACACAACTTAACCATTCAAATCATGCATGCAACTCTATGACAACTTATCTACATATATACACAAGTTTTCGTTTCATTAAGCAATACTCTAAGTTCACACGGCTTTAACAACTTTAAGCTGGTCATAACTCTTTTACCTTATCCTGATCACTGCTTTATCCTGCAAAAAACCACAAGGGGTGAGACAAAAATCTCAATAGTAAAATAACTCACTCTTCTTGACTATCACATACAACTATATAAAAGTAAAGCATATATACCGTTAAACATAACGTATATCACAAGTTTTACTTAAATCATATTAATGTTTCACATTTCACCTCTCTACACTACTTTTCACCACTTTGCTAACACAACTAACATATAACATGATCACTATGGACCAAACCTCTAAATCACCCTGACACAAAACCATAGGCTTACCTTAGACTAATGTATACTCTCATTAGCTATAAGCTCACCTTTAATAGTAGAATCACCCAGCTAAAGGTGTTCTATCTTACTTTTAGACTATGGTCTCCCCCAATATACACAATAGGGTATTGTTGACTCCAACATTATATCACACAGATATTAAGGAGTCTAAATATCTAACATCGTACCTCAATAGGCACTAAAGAGATCATCTCCAACACCGCACCTCGAAAGGCACTAAGGAGGTATAATTCTCCAACACCATACCTCATCAAGTACTAAGGAGAATATGCCATATGATCTTATCACCATACTCTACACGGGTGAACTCTCACCCTTATTATCATGCTTTCTGAACCATTAATAGATTCTTCATTCATACATATATCATCAACACATAACATATATTTATATAAAGTATGAAATCACATGTTCTTACTATATTTGATCAAAAGCCATTTTCATGCAACATTCATGCAATGCTATAAAACATGCTTAGTTTAAAATAATTTCATATAATAGATAGCATATTCACACACAATTGCAATAAATAGCCAAACAGAAGAAGTTATTTCATTACCTCAACCCTTTTGTCATTAGAAAGGTTACCCATAGATTTCAATTACCACAACAGCTCATTATAAGCTTCCTTACTCAATTCACATGCTCAATATGCCAATCTAAATACAATTAGCATGATTTAGTCAATTGGTCCAATTTGACCCAAAGTATGAAATTACTTCTTATGGCTATATTTAGCTGTTTATTTTTTTTCATTTATCCGTTCTAAATTTATTATTGCTTGATTACCATTTTACATCACCTCAACAAGTTTTATTTTACTCAAACACAATTTTAACCTTAAAATTTCAATGAATTAGGGCCAAATTGAGCTTATGGGTTTAAAGCTCTATCATTTAGCTATAAAGCAGTCGAAAAGCTCTAATTTAACTTTCTAAACCTTTTTATTACTATTGAAAAAAAATCAAACCCCTAAAATTTCACAGATTCAATTTCTCTATGACTCATATTCAGAGAAATTTTCGTAGAATGAAAGGTAAGAATTATACATAGCTTACCCACTAAGTTACTAATCAGAAGCACCTTCTATGGCTCTGAAATAGCTTGCCTATCAAACCTCAACTTCCTCTCCTCTCTTTTCATATGTTTTCAAATTTCTCTCTCTAAAATTCATCTAAAATTCATGAATTATTGGGCTATTTTCTAGTCCATACGTCGTAGAGCATGCAGTACAAGCAATGGCATGTGGCACTGTGAGAATAATTCTCACCACACATACTTGCTTCAACCTAAAATGTAATCCTCTCACCATATCTATTCATTTAACATCATAATGAGTCAAATCATTATATTATCACTTAAAACCTTAATTACTTCACAATTACCAATTTACCCCTGATTAATAGCTAATTACAGGATTAAGAAATCAGGATGTTATATGTTACAAATAATAGTAGTTAGAATTACTACTAGAAAAATATATAAAAGATCATTGGGCCATGTAAGTTCTCTATAATAATTATGACCCATTCCTTTGGCCAATTTAACTCTCAATACAAGATCATTCAAGTTAGCCTTTTTTGTTGTTAGGAGAGGTCAATTCTTATAGAACTATCCTCTAAAAGAACCGGACATGGTAATTTTTCATTATCTTGCTCGAGCAAAAATATAATGTATCTATCTAAAAAATTTATATGTTATTTACACATAACATATATGAATATGAAGATTCTACGTATGAAAAAATATAGCAGAGTCTCTTTTCTAGAGTTATTAGTATCCATCGCATGAGATTCTATTCTTATAAGTTAAGTAAATGCTCAATACCAATATATAGGATGTTTGTGGCCATAACCATCCTATATGGCTAGTTCTTTTAAATAAGGGGTTGCTAATACAAACACAGGTAAATATTCTAGAACAACTAATAAAATTCATTATTTATGCACATTTATTAGTTTAAGAGGACCACTTTACATGACCTTTAACATTCATATTGCATTCTTAATGCCTTATAATATTGAAGGAAGGGCTGTTTAAAAGGAATTTAGAGCTTGCATTGGCCTTTATTTGTATCCCCCAAAATCTCAAGACTTTTTACTTTACATACAAAGGATTTACTTGTTAGTAATATAATATAGCCCCTATTCTTCTTTAGATCTATTTTCTTCATTTTGATAGTATCATAAATCGAGTCAATGTAGAGGAAAAGAATGCATTTCCATACTATTAAGTTAAGTGAAATATAAAACATAATTCAGATTATACCACATCACTTATTTTATTGGATCTTATGGAGCTTGTTCATGCAAGACATGATAGAGTATGATCATAGAAAAGATTCTCTTCAAGTGAATTAGCCTGTCCTCTATTGGGGACTTGCACGATGGTTGGAATAAATACACATTTCATTGTGAATTCAAATATGGAGAATACAATAAAGTAATATATCTACATACCCTAATCAATAGTTCAAGTCACACACTCCCATAATCCTTTTTCTCTTCAAAGAATTCCCTTCAACTAGTCGTGTTTGTCAAATAAACAATCTAATTTTGTGAAGTTGAAGGGCAATATCCAAATACTTGTCTTATGATTTTAAATAATACACATTTATAGCAATGAAATAGTATTGTTCTCCTCCCCTAAAATGATAAATGATTGATTCCAAATATTTATGATCCATATTCTCTACAAAGGATCATAAATGCCTTGCTTATGTATCATTAGAAAGATCATTAACATAAATATAATAGTAAGAAGAGGTAATATAATAGTGTGTAAACTATAAAAACGAGTCAAGGTAGGTCGACCCACACTAATACTTTCATATAATAACTCTACCAAAGATGATCCTATTACAAGAATAGCTTCAGGTATACTAGTTACAATTTTTACTGCCAATAACTAATTTGGCCCCAAGGTAAGGAATAACTAGTTACATCAAAGGATGTAGTCAACATAGCCAAAACTATACCCATAACCCAAGTCAATTTGAGAGGGTTTTTAAAACCATCAGTGAGATATACATGAAATATGTGTAGTATAATCATTAGGACCATCATAATTGCTAACCATTGATAAACTAATCAGATTAACTAACAAAAGGTAGCTTTAGTCATTATATATTGAATAGAAGCAAAAGCCTCAGTAATAGTCAGACGGTGGTAAAAAGACATAGAAAACCCCATCGCTACTTGGACTAAAAAACAAGTGAAATTCCCCCTAAATAATAAAATATGTTAACATGAGGAGGAACAAATTTACTAGTTATATCATTTGCCATTGTCTGAATCTCAAGGAATTCTTTCAACTAATCATAGACTTTATTGAGATAGTTAAACTAAGGGGACTCCCCCTTTGAGAACCATATATGAGAATTTCATCTCATACAACTTAAACAAAAATACTCAAATACTAGTTCTAATGAATACGTGTAATAGAAAGTTTGCAACTTCTTAACTTAACCTTATGATTCCAATCTTCTCTGAAGATACAAAAATAGAGATTCGAAAGTTCTTCTTTGTGGTTATAATGCCAAAATCTCAAGTCAGCTCACTCGTCTTTATTTTTATCGTTACTTGCCTCTTGAATATTCTTTAACTTCTTTTGTTTCTTTTCTTTGATTTTTTTTTGTATGTAATGTGGCTTTACTATTGTCTTCTTTATTATTGATAGAAATTCTCTTATTAAATCCTATAAAATCCATTAAAAAAACCTCATATTCATACTAAAACCATGATGATTTAATAAAATCTTTAATTTAAGTCCAAAAATTACTAGAGTAGGAACTATTGGATCATCACTTATTCAATGAATAGATATAATAAAAAATTCAAATAAATGTTTGTCCTTTGATAAAAAAAAGGATAAGTGGTAGTGAAAGAATCAAAATCTTTCAATTTATTATAACTTCCAACTCCTTGAAAAAAAATTTTAAGTTCAGTTACAGGGTCTAAATATTAAGTATGAATCATAGTTCTAATACTTTATAATTCATTTTATATATTCCATGCTCTAGATACTAGAATAAATATCTAACAGGGTAAAACCATAGCTATCAAGATGACAAACTAACTCTCTGTGTTATCAGTAGGATCAATTATAACAAGCCAAAAAAATGCTTTTAAAGAAACTAATTCCAATCATACTAAATAATGCTCGAATTTAAATTTATGATACTATATATCAAATACTTATAAATAAATATGATTTTTTTTCTTAATTTTAATACCCAAAGAAGAATATAGGACTAGAGTGGCAATTTAGAAAAATCATCAATTGACAGATTGATATATTAACATATTCTCATTTTTATTACAAACACACACACACACACACACACACATGAACGCTATCAATATAAAATATATGAAATAAAATTTATAAAATATATGCTTCTTTTGTTAAAAAATATAAGATATTTTTAATCGAATTTTATCATTTAATAAAATAATTACTTACTTTTAAACTAACTCTATTTTTTTATATTTATTTCTATTAGAGACCTACAATAAATATAAAGTCATTTATCAATAGAGGCATTTTTGAAAAAAAAAAAAGACAATGATTACATCTTGAAAGACTAAAAATGCCTTACATTTTTATCATATTTCAAAAATACAGAAGAAAAGAAATTCCATGAAGGAACTAAACTACAAAACAAAAATAGAATGGGCTAAAAGTCTAAGACTCAAATGCTTCACTTTGTATTGAAAAACTAGTTAGTCAGTTCTTGTGAATCTAATTCATAGAAATTCCGTCTAGTAAAATGAAAGAATTTTAAATTTCCAAAATAATATATAGAAATATTGAAAATAAGGCTATTGTAACACCCATCAAAGGAGTTATTCCCCAACTAGGAGCTACTTTACCATATTCCAAATTCAAAGGCTTCAATAAATTCCCTACAGTAGTTCATCTTGAACTAGATCTAAAACTACCCTTAACAGTTTGTGTAGCCATAAATCTTATTTTTTATTTATTGAGATTTGTTGACTTTGTATATCATTCTACAGTAAATAAATGATCTTATCCAAGATCCATTTTGGTCTTAAAATTATATAATAATAGAAACAACAACCCTAGTTGCCATCTCTATATTTGGTTTACTTATAAGTTTTACTAAACATGCCTTATATACTGCTTTTGGGCAACCTTTTCAACAACTAAGAGATCCATTAGACGAACATGGGGACTAATTGAAGTAATGATTGGGAGGCTCATTACTTCAATTGAGATAATGAAAAGTCATTTCATCTTTTTAGTTAGAACTTTAGGTGGTTCTCTAAAAAAGATAGCGAAAAAAATAATTCCTAAAGTAGAAACTAAGAGGAATGTATAAACCAATGCTTCCATGGATTTAATTATGGTTTACAATTATAGCTTTCATACCTATTTATTTGGTGAAACATATAATTAACTAATATAACTCCTGGTCATTCGAGACTTAACTTGAAAGGATAATTACTAAGGTTTAATTTAAAAGTAGGGGATCCCAAGTTTTCTAAATAAAATAAGTTTAAACCAATCAAAGTCTTTCATATTAGAGTAAAAATAAGCTATGGAAGCATGGGATATCTTAAAGGAGTGAAAGAAGTCAAAAATAGTTGAAAAATAAAACATGTGCTGTGATACAGGGCAATGAGCCGTGGCTTGTGCACATTGCACCATGTCGTGTTGCATAAAATTTTAACTGATTTTGTTATCATTTGACAGTAGAATTGAGGGAACTTTTAATTGCCCTAATTCTTCGCTCGACATCCGAATGATGCGACCTAGGTATCTACCAAAAGCTCTTTACACGAACCAGCTAATGGCATGGGTTTTACTTTCAAAACAAGTCACACTAGAAAATTGGACACCCAAGCACATTTTAACTACTTTTTAATACTTTTACATAAAATGGGTGTTCAAAACCCTCAACAAGTGTCAAAAGCTTTTCCTAACACCAGGACCATATCCCATGGACCTAGGACTACTAGTACAACATATCACAAGCACTAAAACAATAATAAAATAAAAAATCACTCCTCAACCCCATTTTACTAAAAACAGAAGGGAAGGTAATTTGTCATTGCATCTTGCCGAAATCATTCAAAACATGTTCAAATCATTATTTCTACACTTGCACTAGTATTTTGGCCGTATAAACATATATATATCAACATACACAAAGACTAAGGGCTCAAAATACAAATCTAACATTTTCAATAACAAAATAGTGCAAGTATGATGGCATGCATCCTAGAATTGGCAATCATATACTATTACATAATTAAATCTAAACTAGAGGCATACAGTAGGAATATGTTAATTTCCTGCCTCTTTAGTCTTCTCCCTCTTAACACCAGAGCTAGAGTCTAAAAATATTAAATGGGTGAGTCTAGCCACTCAGAAACCAAGGTTAAACCTACCCTATGCAATTATATATCAATTATAAACCAGGTACATGCACGAGGAAATCAAATATATATAAAACATACCAGCAGATATCATATCTCATCATTTATCATTAAATAACTTCTTTAACTCTCATAACTAGGTGCATTGTCAACATATTCTCAAATATGTGACATAATCCATACTCTTGCAACTTGTCCCCACTTAACACGTGTGACATGTCATATATTTAC